GGCCTGTCTGATGTTGGAGGGCAAAGGCTACAATAGTGCTACATTTAAATTGTTTTAGTTACTTATAAAATTTGCTGATAAAATATTTTTACTAGCAGCAATACTCATTATGAGCAGCCATTAAAACCCACTTTATCTGTATATTAAWATTGTTAACAGCAGTTTGACCTACTTTCATCACTGCCGTGTCATCCCTGCAAACTGAGTTTATGTGCAAAGTTATAAAAATCAAAAGTCTAATAATTAATTTCATTTTGTTTAATGAAACTGGGTAGATAGCATCTGAATCCCAAGTTCAAAAAAATGCAGTGTTTCTAAAGGAAGGCCCTGTCACACTTTAATGTTTTAGACAGCTCATGTTGACTCATGGAAACTTTGTTAGGAATAAATTACCCATATAGGTTATTCAATCTAACTGTTAGCATTGTTTTATGTATAAGGTCCAAATGAGGCTCCCATTAGATTATGTTTTATTTATTCCATTTTCAACATAGACATCTTCAGTGTTGGACAAAATAAGTTGTCTAAAACTATAGTGTGACAGGGCTTTATGCAGGAAACCCAGGTTCTTCCTAATGACAGCTGTGCAAAGACATTTCCACTGAACACAATCTAAAGCAATTTGTTCATCTTAAATAATGTTAAAAGTCTCTGTTTAACAGGGAACACACTGTAAATGTTGAAGTCTGTTGTATTTTTAAATACCGGACAATAGTCAACATGCTGTATAATAATAGGTAGTGATGAATATGCACAGTTTCAGCAGTGGCTCTTTGGTTTTATGCCATTAAGTGATCATCTTAACTATKATGTTTCTGGTTTGTAATTCAAAGAAAATTTTTCTGAGGGAAGTTTACAACTGGGCAGTGTTTTTGTGGTAAAATGTGTTTGTAGTGCTCCTGATGACATCCCCACCACACTTTCCACAAAATAGCTGAATGTGGCTGGATTGCTGCAAATTTGGAAAATCTCCTTTAGGGTGAAAGCAATCATGTCGCTGCTGTGCTCTTAGTTCTTGTAATGTAAGGCTTTCTGTGTTTTTGAGGTTTATTTTTCCCTATTTCCACATCCTCATGATGCTCACTTGTACCCTCATTGTGCATCAGCAGCACATTTTCACAACAGCGTTACTTCATTCACTCACAACAGCACCACAGCTTGGATCTTACATAATCCTTGAACTGTGTAAAAACGCTGCAACGTGCTCGAAGATCACATCCTCCTAACGTGATGGAATCATAACCTGAACGAGAGTGTAGGCTTTCTATTTTCTACTTGTCTCCTAGGCGAAAAATAGTTGGCCATCCATTTGAAAGTGTTCCCGACTGTAATTGTTTTAGTCTGGCCTCTGTGCGTTCATATTGGAGTTACATATTTGGAATCCCAGAGCTTTAGGTCACACAAGCAAAACTATGACTTCCTGACAGGATAAAATGTTACCTGTCTTAAAATTGAATAAACTTCCTACAGTAAAATGGCAGCAAAAACACACATTCACCATGTCACTGACCTGTGTGCGTCCTCCGGTGTGCTTTTAAGTGTGAGCTTTTGGTGTACACCTTATTGCAGCCCTCAAAATCACATCTGTGGATTCTTCTCTTCTTTGAATCGGGTGACTCTGACCTCCGGGGGCGTCGTATGCTGTCAATACTGAACGGGGACATGGAGCTGCAAGAAGGACAATAAAAAACACAGTTGAAGTCATGCTGTGATGATAATAATGAATCGTATGTTGCTGTGGATATAAGGATGCTTTCCCAGGTGTCTACATGTTTTCTGAGGAAGGTGGAAACAACCTTCTAAACCACTTGTTTACTTTATAAACTAAAGCAAAAGTGAGTCTCTTAAAACTCATCTTGACCATAAAAGTTATATTTCCTGGTTAAAATAAACATCTGACAAAATAGAAGCTATTAGAAGACATTTAGATAGAAGAAATTAGACTGGGATAAAAATCACTGTCAATCCCATGAACTGAAGAAAAACAGTAATTTAATTGGCTTCTTCCATCCATCTAATCAAACAGATAAATCATTTGGTATCATTTTCCAGCTCCACACTTTTAGACAAAAGTTTTGAAGAAATTTTGTAACTGATTAATTGAATATTAGATTCAGTTTTGTATTTTATACTTTCTGATCATTTCAGTCTGTAAGGCTGAAGCTGACAAAGAGTTGGTKTGTGTCTTGTGTTCTTAGCCTAAACAAAACTGAGTACGCTCTGACGTCTGACGTAAAAGGTAACACCTCCTGGGRTGTAACCAGGAAGAGATGTACATTATAAGGMCAATTCATTATTATAGTAGAGGAAAGTTGTCAGGGTGTTAGAGTCTCTGCTTCTGAGCAGAGTTGTGCTGCTGTGTTTGGGTTTTCCTGATATCAGCCCAAGGTTGTACGCTGAGGCCTGTGCTGCTGAGCGCTGAATGTACCTGATTGGAGTCAGAAGACTGAAAATAAAGTTTTGAAGAAGAAACCCAGCTGAATTCTGTTTATTCGGACATACCATTTTGAACAATGCATATTTCTCCAACAGTTTGTTTTGTTTGTTTGTATTTTATTTCATTCATTCAATAATTAATATGAATAGTTCATATAACGACCAAATAAAACATGAATGAAAAGGAGCAGAATGAAGTATAAACTTATAATATCTG